ATATATATATATATAACTAAACGAACTCTATGGTTGTACGGCAGTGAATCATCAGTGTCAACACTGGTGTTGCTGTCATTGATGATGTTGATGATGAATACGCGCTGATAAGTAAAACTAATGTTTGTTCAGCGTCTGTGTACCATACCTTGTGGTAGATGTTCAAACCCATGGAACCTCAAGGTTCATTGCGTATCGTCATTTCCCATCCTTATTTTTTCGCACAACGTTTGTACATGAGAGCACCCTGGAGTACCCGTAGTGAGGTAGCACTTGATCGAGTTCCAGTGTCACATTCTTGGCGTCCTTAAGGCAGACTGTATTTGTTTGTATTGTAACGAATAATGCCAACGCGTTTATTGTCTATGATGATAATATCGAAGACGAGGACCTTTGATCAATCTCGGCAAACAATTAAAAATCACCGTTCGGCTGTGCCTTCCTTAGTTCAACACACAGAGATCAGGAGATCTGAGACACAAGGGTTCTCCAGCCCTAGACAAGGGCCCTTGAGAATTGGATTAGCTGGCGATCCGGCTCATGTTCATAGTTCCGTGGCAGTAGTTGGAATTCTTTTTTAGATGCCTGCAACGCAGCCCCAATAATTCCCACTTCATGAGCTGGTCACTCAAATACGGACACCAAGTTATTCAGTCACCCTCTGTCTAGCAAGCTGATTTTCTATCTGTACCGTTTTCTACGTACCGGCGCAACTGACTTAAGCCATTTCAACGCTTCTGTTCTTCCAAGCTTCCACAACCACGTTAATTTTCCAACATTTCGCACCTTGGTATTGTTGTTAATGACTCATTTATCAATGGCCAACAAGCTGCTTTTGCTAGCACGCTTGACGCCTTATCGACAGATATGTTCCTTTACGAAACCCGAATACAAGATCTGAGCACTACAATTCAGCTTACGGCATGTTAGCTATCTAGATGCCATCAACTGCGAACTTTGAGCTGCTGCTGCATCTGGTTGTGACGGTGCTGATATCGCTTTTATCTCACGAGCTGATGCTTTATTGCTTGATTGAATACTTGTAAACGGTAACCTCCGTGTCGTTGATCCGGCCGCACCGGCCGAAATGCTAACTGTTCCTTGTTTATAGTTTCAGCTTATACATCACTTCTAGCACTCATTCCGCACACCTCTTATCCAACACGAAGGGTGCAGATATAGTCCTGATCGCAGAGTGCCTCAGTTTATCTCAGGCACGTCGCTGACCTGTCTAGCTTAGATCCAAGGCGTCATGATGATAATGGAGAATGCTTTTTACAGCTCTGTGCTGACCGTCATTTGCTTCTCAGCAGTACTGTATTTATGCGCCGTGGACACCCTTGTGCTACCCGGAGTCCACTTACTGTCAAACGGCCGTGAATTAAAATCAATCACATAGGCGATGCTCGATCACGGAAATACATATCCTGATTCAGATCATGCCCTCATCCAGTGTAGATTTCCACTCAATTTCCTGGGTGAATCTAAAGAGCGAAGTTCCCTTCTAGGGACTGAAAAGCATTCTGAGTCACAAATTAAGCAAACATACCAAACTTTATTGTGTGGTGCTCTGGAAGTGGTCTCTCGTAATTTGTAAAATGTAACAACCGCCACATGCGAATTTGGAACATGGCATGTGGTTTCACCGAACGCGACCTAGTGGATCCCAGGTAATCTCTGTCGCTTCTTCATGCGAGTTGTTATTTCCCTTGGATTCCGCAACTCGAACGGAATAAGGCATGGTGCAGCCAACAAGCTCAAGTTCTTCATGCAGTTGTTATTTCCCTTGGATTCCGCAACTCGAACGGAATAAGGCATGGTGCAGCCAACAAGCTCAAGAAATACGGAATGCTAGTACGGCGGGAAATATACGGAGGTTGTTCCAGCTAATCCGAAAAACAGGCCCCCCGGACAGCGGTTGCTGGGTGCTAATCAAACACCGCTTTTAAGATTTAATATATAATAAAGCCATAGGGCAGTGTATTTTCCGTAACAGTTGGTCATCAGCTTCCGTATCTGTGTACTTCATCCGACCTGCTCAATTCAATCCGTGACCTGCAAGTTTAGATCCTCCCTCATTGAAGCACCAACACACCTTTCGCCCTAAAAGCGCCATCGAAATGCCGGCCCAGATAACCTTCCACTGGTGCGGTTACTGCTCTAGCTGGATTTTTGGAACAGAAACGCCTTTCGGATAACTGGGGCCAATAGATTATCTGTTACACATTGATACGCGAATCGAATGTTTCTAACATCGGGATATGAGCTTAATATCCGTCGCAACCGCGTTATTGGTTTCAGTAATACGGCAAAACCATATCACGATACGTGATACGCAAATCCAGAAGCACTAAGCAAGGTTTCAACCAGTTAAATATTACAACGATAATATTTCCACATTATCTCAGATTCTTGAGCAGGACCATATGCACCTCCGGTCAACATCCTTAGTTTTCCTGAACTTCAAAGGCTCATGTAACTCCATAAATAAGTCTGTCATTCCACATGTACTGGGCCAAATAGCGACGCCTTCAAAGTTAATTGAAGTTCCTGGCTTCAGATTTACCTCCAGAGGAAAAGTGGAAGAATAGCACTATGCAGACATTTTCTGGTCATTTTGACGACCGTCAGTCAACACGTTCTTGGGTATGGTCCCCAGTTTCCATATGCTCTCTGTATATACTAGACACAAAATGTCGCTCAGGGATTCCGAGTTCCTTGTGCGCTGCCGATACCCTGGAGAGAACTCGAGTTTGTTGACCAGTTTACTTATCTAGACAGCTGCATGAGCCGCGATTGTACAGTGACTGAATATGTCATTGCACGCACTATCTGGGACCGAGCAACATTTGCGAACTTGTGTCATTCGTCGTGTCAGAAAGTGATTTCACTGAGGCTAACGCTGAAGGGTTTTGTTTAGGCAGCAACCGCAACAGTAGTCTCACTGTGAGATTGCGAAATTTGGATCCTTCGACTCGACGACCGTAGATGGATTAAAGCGCTTGATCATAGGTGCGATTGCAGAATAGGCGTTAGCTACCTGCAGCGTCTTTGCACTAAAACCTTGAGTGGTCATCATCATTGGCAGGATGATATCACCGTTCAACACCCATGCATCACTACTACACCATAATTTATTTGAGAGGATTATTCTAAAGAATAGGATGAAAATAGTTGGGGAAGGGGCTTAATGTCAACCTGCAATAGTCACTCCTATGTGTATATATCTCCAGACACATCCAAACACTGCGGATTGCAGTTGATAGCATCAACGCCAGGGACATCGATAAGCAGTCATATCCTGCAGCTTCTCCAACCAGGCACAGTAGGGATTACGCGAACTTCATCCTGGAAGGTGAGTCGTAATCTGTGTTATGCCTTCCCATCATTTTGCTTGCGCCACTGAATCAAGTACGGAAAACAGTTCTTTTTCGGTAAACGTTGACTCAGTATGCACAATACACGGCCTAACCACCGCAGGTTTCGGTGCTGGATACGTTCTTCTGCTGGAGTCCTGGTTGCACAAGCTAGCACTCGACTTGCCGATTTGTCAGTACCAGCCTACACGAGCTTTGGTTCTGAGACAGCGATTGTCGAATACCTATAAATGTCTCAGTTCCGCTACTCGAACTGGCCACGTCTTAGCTATGCAACAAAAGAACTTCTAATATAGCCTCATACACACGTCCCGCTTTGATGCCATTGGTGTCTCAAATTAACAAACACGACCCGAACCTTACCGGCTCGTACATGAACCTCATCTGCAGCAAGCAACTTCCAAAATACACAAAGCGGCACACAAATCCGAGTACTTTTTGAATTATAGGTGACGTGTTCAGTGACTATATCCAGCAACGTGACTTTACACTGTGGCCGCAAATCGCTTGCGAAAGAACGGGATGAATTAGGTCAGTTTATCCAGAAAGACCTGTGTCTTCGGAGACGAAAACCATGTCTAAATACTCCAGATCTACAAAGCTTCCGTCGGCAGCTATCTGAATACCAGCGTCCTCCAGCGCTCATCCCACTATCCCGTCGATCACGAAGTTGACTGATGTGCTGCCGTGTGATTAGACCTCGTTTGTTGTCTCACCTGGAATTAATTTGTTTTTATCTATGCATACGTTCGGATGCATATAGTTGATCCCATGCCAGTGATTTCTCGGGAACATCAAAGGCTTCTAAAGGGGCAGTCTTGGTTGGTTCGTTCAAACTAACAACAGAATGGGAGAAAGGATATTGAGCAAAGTTGTCTGTGGGACTGTCGAATCGATTTTTCTATAAGGTTCTCTAGGGCTTTCCCGTTCCTTTTCGAGCTATTGAAACCGCCACTGGGAAGTGGCTTTCACCAGTTCCCCCTCTTTCGCATAGCTTATGCAGTTCAACAACCCCACCTGGTTTCCTCTGGCTTACTCTAATTTATCAACCAATAGGTTTTATTGTCTTTATTGACGCTGCTCTCAAACGATCTCTCCTGACCCTCAACATACAATCAATATGCATTCAAAAATTCTACTTGTGAGAGTTACTTGAGAAGGAGACTTTTTCAGTTGGACAGCTGTCGGTTGATGTTCTTAGTCTGCTCTACGATTGTTACCGAAAACCGGAGAATACGGAACCACGCTCCGTCGCGGGCTGATAGTTGCACTGCTTTCTAACGAAATTTAATGCCTTGTTGGGTCGTCAGATGAGTCCGAAAATGGACGATAATCGTATACTATTCATGTATTTTCGATAAACTATCCTAAGCGTTTTCCGTTAAAAACTCAACGCGCGAAACGGTTTCCTTCTTATTTGAACTCAACGGATTCTGGTCATCGCAGCCGATGGAGCTACCGCTGTTTTCCGGTTTCGTCGCTTGTTTTTTGGCTAACCCATCGTCAGTTTTGACTTTTCGCTACGCTGATTCACAGTATTTCATGTTCTTTTTCAGACGGACGAACCTGAGGTGATTGCTTTCCTCCTGGGCTCGGAAATCATTCCCTTGTGTTTGGTGATCATGGAGTCTGGCAGCGAACTGAGCAAAACAGTGAGTCTCTCTGAAGTTCACCGTGTTTATGGAGTTTGTCGGGCACGCATCTTCCAACGGAAGTTTCAGCTACCGTGTTTATGGAGTAGGATGATGGAGTTTGTTGGGCACGCATCTTCCAACGGAAGTTTCAGCTATGTATTTGTCTAGCTCAGACCAGCCTTACATCGGTTTGCAACTTACCTTGTCTATCTGAGTTCATTTGTTTTGATCCCAACCTTTGTGTTTCTATTTTTCCAGGTTGCTACTTTCATCATGCATAAGCTGCTTCTTGATGAAGTTGGATTAGCCTATATATGCCAGACGTACGAACGTTTTGCACACGTCGCCACAGTTTTGGACAAAATGGTAACACATCTAGCAAAAGATCAATCATTGCGGCTCCTGAAACACGTCATTCGGTGCTATTCACGATTGTCTGACGACGCCCGGTAAGCATTGCCTCGCTGCGCATGACCTAGTTTTTCGTGATTCCATGTGTACTGGTGGTCATTTCAGACCAGCATTTGGGGTGTTGGTAACTAAAACAAGGTGTCCGCATGCACCTAAAACTTGACTGCCCAGTGGCAACCACTTAGCACAAGCAATATACCCGGCCTCTCCAAGTAGGACCAGTCTCCAGTCCATAGCGGGTACCACAGCCAGATTTTTATCATCACAATCGACTGCACGGATTTCTCCAGGGTTCAGAAGGCTATGGTTCCTTTCTTCGGCGAACGCTTCGACCACCAAATAAGAGTGATAACGAACAGTATACCAGCAACAAACTCTGCCGAACTATCGTAATATCGTGAGTAATGCATTGGTAAATAAGCGGAATGGATTGGAACTCCTTGGAAAGTCTCTGTCGTAGGCCATCAAGAAGTGTACCTATACTCCAAAACAGGAATGAGAAAACTGCCGAACTATCGTAATATCGTGATTAATGCATTGGCAAATAAGCGGAATAGATTGGAACTCCTTGGAAAGTCTCTGTCGAAGGCCATCAAGAACAGTGTACCTATACTCCAAAACAGGAATGAGATGGACGCATTTGGCGATTATGTTAAAGTAGGAAGCCAGTCGTTATAGCATGAATTTACTAACCGGAAGGTCCATAGTTTGAGCCCGAATTACGCCTGTCACGTGTCTAAGCTTGGGCAAATTGGCAGTATCCTAGCCGTCGTGATTCCTTTGGGTGGCATGGCAGTTAGACACCGATAGAGTGCTACAGCTGAATTATTTGATTTTTAGAACGCCATTAGTTGGACTGGACCAGCGAGATTTGCGAACCTCACCTGACGAGTCCACCATACAAAGACATACGTGACCTAGGCATTATGATTAGGATATGACAGGATGTCCTCTAATAGGACCGGCTAGACACTATGTCCTGTAAGGTTTCTAACCATGTGGATCCCAACATGAAAGGCTCGAAGGCACTTGAACACTGGCCACCCTTGTTACGAACTGCGAAGTTGTTGCGCGTCCTCTGATGAGCCTTGTACGAACAAGAGTTCAGAGTATAAAACGTCGTCTTCGGTGGACTCCGTTTGATACATGCATGACGCAAGTCCAAACCATTTAGTGTTTTAGGTGCTGTTTTCGTGCTTCGGATTCATCACGCTCACACAGCTTCATTGGGAAGGCAATGCAGACAGGAAGCGCCTGTCATACTGCAATGGCGCTGGTGGTCACGCATTTGAGCCCGTCTAAGGCTCGCGGATCGGACCCATAAAATAAAACTACTCCCGCAGTTGTCTTCTAAACACGGACCTGCAGCAAGCCGCGGCACCCAAAGAATCACCTGAATTTCACGGCCACTGCCCTCTAGGCAGCGTAGCTACTGGGTTTGTTTGTTTTCTTGTATTGCATGACCTGAAACCGGAAATTTAACAGGTAGTCAAGTGTGACGTTCACTTATGTCAGTCCGCCAAATTCCATCTTATTTCAGAGCACGAGATGCACTGGGAACATGTCTACCTCCCCAACTGGCGGATGGTACGTTCAATAACTTGTTAAAAGATGACATTTCGACCAAACGCTGGCTCAACCAACTTCTTCGGCAAGTCTCCGCGCGTGCCCCAGGAGGAAGTCAGATAAGCACGAACTCAACCAGCATTACAACGGAATCACTATCTGTTAGCCGCGTACCGCGTGCAGGGTTCAACGCCCCGACGACAACAGTATCAACAACTGGTCAGGCTGCATCCTCTGTTGCTTCTGACCCGAATGTTGGTAGCACTAACGGATCAAATAACGTCCCGGTGTCCTATTCAAACGCACTGTCACGGGCTTCAGGGATGGATGGTACCGGGAACATGAGTGGGTCGAACGGTTCCGGCAGTAACACACAGACCTGAATTTAGGGGAAACCGATTTGTCATGTATCACACCATGCTTTGTATCCCGTCTTTTTGTTCCGCATCCAAGTTCCTTTCCCCGATGAACAGGAGACGTCTGTATAGACCACCAACACCCGTTCCTCTGTTTCTTGTTCTTCTACCTGCTCGTTTCTGAGCTTACGAAATAATCTGGAAAAGCGTTTCAGCTGTGCGACCAACTGAACGAAACTGCGATTCCACCTGCAAAAATTCTTTTGTTTTTCTTCTCCGGGTCTCATATCTACCCTTTTTGCGGCAGAGTAACTTGTGCAAAATGCTGGCGGATAATGGTTAGTGGAGTTATTTTATTACTATTGGACTGTGGTACCCTAACGACGTTGACAATCCCGCATCTTTGTTGCTTCTACTGCCTTGTTCAAATCCGTTGCAAGATAAGTGAACAGGGGTTGAACATCCAGTCAGTTTTCCCCTGTCTGGTTTATTCGCCCGACGTGGCTTAACCGGGATTACCACTGATGGTAAATTCCGGTGTGCCAACCAACGGCAGCTTACTTCATCCCAGAGTAACCTCACCCAGTGGCTTGTGTATATATCGATGCATTCGAGAACAACTGGTACAGAAGCTTGGGTGCAAAACCAACAGACGGAACTATCCGGTCCAAATCTGCGACATGTGGCAAATTTTACATTGCTGCGAGTGCGAATAGATCCCTGTCCAGAGACCGAGGCGTTCCAACAGAAGGTAGTTTGACAAATTAGATGTGATTGTTTTGGGGGGTTCTGCTCTGCGACAGACCATGGTGATGGCGGTTGTGCAACCATACATACCAGTGTCAGGCTTAAGTACATGTGCAAGTCTTCAGTGCTTAAAATCTGAGTCCACAGGAAACCCATGCAAAATACTTGACCGACGGCAGCGGTTCTGCTGTGACAGACCATGGTGATGGCGTTTGTGCAACCATACATACCGGTGTCAGGCTTAAGTACATGTGCAAGTCTACAATGCTTAAAATCTGAGTCCACGGGAAACCCATGCAAAATACTTGACCGACGGAGTAGTAAGCTTCTACTGTCGTATTGATGTGAATGAAACCATTCCTATAGTTATGCAAATAAGGTGTAACAAGTAGGGTTGTAATCGGGTTAGCCGGCCGTCAACGTCGCTTTCGATTAGGATTTGGATTCCTCAATCATACATTGCAGCCTGCCTTTTGTCACTTGTTTACACTGCTTATTGGATTGGATAATGAACCATGAAGGCCTAGAGTATGTTCAGACGCAACATGCCCTATTCCGCCTGAATATCTATACTGCGGGCGCCTGATACATGCAGACAGTGTTGCGTAGATAAGCTTCTGCAGTCAAGATGGTTTTCTGATTCATGGCTTCGGGTAATAGTTGCAAACCGTCCAGTCATCCGCACAACATGACGAAGACCAATAAGGGAAATGGAAGTAGACGAAAACATGATTGAACTGTACAAAAGGACAGTCCGCATTAAACTCACACCCTAGAATGAGTAACTGCCGTAATCTGATCAAAAGACCTAGGTAACCTTGAGCAGGTATTGAAACAAACGACTATATCACTGAGGCTGCAGCTTGGACAGCATGTCTTGAAACCGGGTGCGCAGTAGGACTGAAACATCCATATAACGGTCAACACAGTTTTGTAGACATATTTCTTTCTTCCCGTCCATTTTGGCGGCAGGGTACCCGGAGACGCATTTATCCCAGCAAATGGAAGTCAGGTGACTGATTTTGCTTTGAAACCCGGCGCGCTGCTGCAGCATCTGGACAAATGTTTGTAGTTCAGCATCTATTGCATCAGGTTTTGATGTCGAAGGCGAAAAGGCAGAATCGTAGCTGAAATATAGAGATTCGTGGGATGAAACGTTTGAACCATTAGGTGCCTTGGCTAAGTGACTTAAGCGCATACCATTACAAAACAAAAGGACGTGAGAGTATGGTACAACTACAACACACCGATCCAGAACTAGTCAGTTTTAGGAACAAATAAGACACCAATACTGGCGCACAGTAAAGCTTAAACATGACCGTACTTAAAATAGTACCACTTTGGGAATCTATTCGGTTTTGACTCCCTGAATCTAGCGGCGTTTCCGTAAGCTGTCGAAATAAGAGATTATCTAAATTTTCGCGAATTACGTAAGACCCAAAGTATTATTTATGCGTATCATCATGACGATTGAATGAAGGAGGCATTACGTTCCCCACCGATTTCATGTCTACTTCGGAATGCGCCTAGTTACATAAGACCCGCCAGTAGACTCCTATAACTACTTATTGAGGAATATGTACGGTTTATCGTCGTTCAAACCAATACATTAAAAAACATCGAACGACACCAGCTTTTCCGCGTTTGACATACTCAGCTTAACATATTGTTTCAAGTTAACCAAATCTGAAAGCGAAAAGCAAAGCGGTGCACACTTATTATCAGAGGCCGATATTTTCCGCGCGGCGCGAGTTTTGCGGAAAGGAGACTGAAAAAACGGCTGCTGAGTTCCAAGGTGTCCTGGAAGTTGTTGCAAATGTAATTTTCCCGCTGCCTTGAGTTTCGTCCACCAATCACAGCAAAATAAAGCTAATTTCATTATTTACCTGTCAGAGAAAGCTGGCCACAGTTGATCATTGACACTCAACACTGTTGTTGATGTTTTGCTGAAGGTATCCACAACATAAAAGCCTTTTTCCCTCTTGAACAAGTACATTGATTCTGAGGCAAAAAATTCTGTAGTAAAAATTGACATACAAACTCTGGTTAGATTTTGGATACGGCCACACTGAAATACAACTGGCCACAGCAACAAGCTCAGACCATAGTTTTCACATGACAAATACTGCTGGATTATGAGAACATCAGCATTCGGGTAGTATCAGTATCCGGAACTTTATTTGGTTTCTTTAAAAAGAAGGCTTTCCTTTTCTCACATAGTTGACCACACAAGCTGAGACATGTACGAATGCACATACCCGATCCACAAGAGATGTAGACCGTTGTAGATGTAGACGCCTTGTAATCGAAGGCGTCAGTAGTAACTAAGAATGTGTACGTCAGTCTAACCGTTTGAAGGAGCAAGTCCCGGTGAGCTGATCCGTTCTAGTTAATGTGCCTGTACTTCGCGTTGAAAATGGGTTGTACAGCCGAAATTCCTTGATGCTGTTTTTCTGGCCTGTAGATGTCCAATGTTTGTACTACGGTACCCAGTGGTGAATTCCTACAAGGTGGTTTTATCAGTAACGGAAGCTTGGCACTAGCTGTGAACATAACTTCGTCGTGTTCCAGGGTTCATGTGGCAGGGAGGTGGAAGCTTGGCCATAAATGCTCTCCACTCTAAATCGCTCGCCACATCCTCCTCACTACAGCTGAAGAGCGGTGAGACGTTACCGCGCCATTTGAGATGTTTCTTGGCATGGGAATCATTGTGTATCAGCACTCCTGACCAGTGTTCGGTCTCTGCCAATTTAATTTCTTCACCGTTGTGGTCGATTTGTGCAACCTGTGATATCAAACCTACGGTCTATTATTATGTCTCCCGAAAACAGGACAGCCAATCAAAAGTTTCGGAGGGTTATAGCTTTCTAATGATTCTGATATGTCCAAAGGTTATCACCGCCTGTGCATTGATATGAAGTAGGCACCCCATCTCCGTAGACAACGAAACCGTATGTCAGCAACTTCTATTGTGTGCTGAAGGCATCTGTAGTAGTTTGAAGGAACCTCGATTCCCCGGCGAAATTTCGGGTGAATGTCTGCCGTCCCTCCTAATGATCCACAACGGGGGTCATCAATGACCAGTTTGCTGGTAATAGCTTTCATAACTCTCTGCGAAGTGATCATTTAACATCTGGTTCATTTCCACTGTCCGAGCGGGTTGTGCGAAGAACTACGAGGAAGCTAACCGACAGGCGTAAGGGGCACGTGACCAAAACAGTGCAACCTACCATTATTATCATGGACAGCACAGCAGCAGTGCTCAACATGCACGGTTCGCTGCCGCGCAGCCATAGTTTATTTGAAAGGTTTGTTGTGAATAAAAGAATGAACTGGATGGAGAGGATACTTAGTGCTAGCTTGCCAGTCCTTCCGAGGTGCTTCCCCCTCCAGAAACTCATTCGGGTAACCTGGATAGAACGTGACAACAGCAATGTGACTCAAATCGATTACCAGCCATATCTTGCAGCGCCTCCAACCATGCAGTGGGATCCACACGGTCCCCATCCTGGAATGCGGGTTGCATCGACAGCACCCAGACTTTTCGCAATCTCTTTCATTTCTTTCTACCACATCAACGGTTGACCACCTCTCTGAATTGGGCACAGAAAATAGCACTTCCTTCGGCGAACGATGGCTCGGTAGGTACGTTACATGTTCTAATCAGCGCAGTTTCTGCTACCAAGCACATGCTTAGATGGAAATCCCCAATGCACAACCGAACACCAGTTTTCTACTTGCCTCTGATGGATTCGCTTACATTACATAACGAGCTATGGTTTTGAGATAACTGTTGGAGGCCTGAAGGCGTCTCATCCCCGCTGTTTGGGGAGACCACACGTCGCAGCCATGCAACAAGAGCTCAGTACACAAGTTCCTTGAAATTCGGAAATAAACCGCCTTGACACCACAGGTATCCTACGTGACCGGATTCCTGCAGATTCGTGCATCGACCTCATCCAACACACTAGTCGGAACTAATACAATCTCCAAGATACACAAACGCGTGTGCTCCTCCCTGAATTGTAAGCGGTATGTGTAGAAACATGACCTTACAGGTTGCGCGTGCAAACTGCATGCCAAAGGAAGGAATGTTTGGTCGGTTAATCGAAAAACACCTGTGTTCTCTTTGAACACGGAAACGATTTCGTCTGTAGTCGTTTGAACACCAGGACATTTGAGACCCTTCAGCGTTCGTTTAGTTATCCCGTCAATCACGAAATTAAATGGCATCCGGGAGAACGTGTATCCTTGACGGGCACCTCTTTGTGTACGGAAGCTTTTGGAGAGCTGTCTGAATACTCACGCTAGGAATTTTGAGTCTACGAAGAACTTATTATGCTCACAAAATTGCAGGACATTCCTCGCTGGATAAGTCTAGACAGGAGCAGTCGAGATGCCAGAGTATGATTAGAAACACGGACCTTCTGGTCAGTAAGTTCGCACCTCAACTGTTGAGTTCTCTCGAGTTGTCTGTGTCGTTCCACTTGATTCGTTCGACAAGTCTGTCATGACTATCCTTTGTGTTCACATTGTCGTTTCATATTAACTATGCTTCCGCCTTCACTTTCAGCTTGTGTACGTCCACTCTTAGACAAGTAGAGCACTTCTTTCTACCACATCAACGGTTGACCACCTCTCTGAATTGGGCACAGAAAATAGCACTTCCTTCGGCGAACGATGGCTCGGTAGGTACGTTACATGTTCTAATCAGCGCAGTTTCTGCTACCAAGCACATGCTTAGATGGAAATCCCCAATGCACAACCGAACACCAGTTTTCTACTTGCCTCTGATGGATTCGCTTACATTACATAACGAGCTATGGTTCTGAGATAACTGTTGGAGGCCTGAAGGCGTCTCATCCCCGCTGTTTGGGGAGACCACACGTCGCAGCCATGCAACAAGAGCTCAGTACACAAGTTCCTTGAAATTCGGAAATAAACCGCCTTGACACCACAGGTATCCTACGTGACCGGATTCCTGCAGATTCGTGCATCGACCTCATCCAACACACTAGTCGGAACTAATACAATCTCCAAGATACACAAACGCGTGTGCTCCTCCCTGAATTGTAAGCGGTATGTGTAGAAACATGACCTTACAGGTTGCGCGTGCAAACTGCATGCCAAAGGAAGGAATGTTTGGTCGGTTAATCGAAAAACACCTGTGTTCTCTTTGAACACGGAAACGATTTCGTCTGTAGTTGTTTGAACACCAGGACATTTGAGACCCTTCAGCGTTCGTTTAGTTATCCCGTCAATCACGAAATTAAATGGCATCCGGGAGAACGTGTATCCTTGACGGGCACCTCTTTGTGTACGGAAGCTTTTGGAGAGCTGTCTGAATACTCACGCTAGGAATTTTGAGTCTACGAAGAACTTATTATGCTCACAAAATTGCAGGACATTCCTCGCTGGATAAGTCTAGACAGGAGCAGTCGAGATGCCAGAGTATGATTAGAAACACGGACCTTCTGGTCAGTAAGTTCGCACCTCAACTGTTGAGTTCTCTCGAGTTGTCTGTGTCGTTCCACTTGATTCGTTCGACAAGTCTGTCATGACTATCCTTTGTGTTCACATTGTCGTTTCATATTAACTATGCTTCCGCCTTCACTTTCAGCTTGTGTACGTCCACTCTTAGACAAGTAGAGCACTATTTATTCCACGCTACTCAGTCTTGTTCTCGAGTTCAATCAGAATCGATACTTCATCTGCAACAATTTACTTGTCTAAGAATACAATGGAACCGGTGCTGCGACCCAAGTGTTTCGACACAGATCCAAATTCTCCAGATGCAACAACACGAACCTTCGAAACGTTTCTGGGTACTGTCGAATCGCCTAATCTAAAAAACTAGAAACCTTGATAAATTTTGTGGATGCGGATTTCTGCCCCAACTACGAGTCCGTTCGGACACGAAATCCGCCTGACTTCCCTTGACTAGGCTTGGGCAACCTGGCAGCATCGCAGACCTCATGCTTCTTTCTGGTGGCATGGCAGTTAGGCACCGAAAGAGTGCTACAGCTGAACGATCATTTATTATTTATTATTATACTTGAAAGGCTGTACGTTCGTCCTAAGAACATAATTTACGCTTGTCATCTACAAACTCGCACACAAGACACTA